TCTGAGTAAGGGCTGGAGATTTAGCTCAGCCGGCATAAGCGCCTGGCTGGCAAGCGTGAGGTCATAAATTCAATCCCCAGTATACCACAAAAAAAAAAAGAAAAAGAAAAGAATCTGACCAAAGTAACACCAAAAGTCAACAGGATAACCATTAAGTCCCACTGCCTCATGTCCAGCATTGCAAGAGGTAAGATGTGAGTTTCAGGGGCATGGGTGACCCACTCCTTCAATCCTGCTGCTTACAGCCCATACATCCTCGCTTTTTCAGATGATTCTGCTTCCTGCCTGCAGCTTTCCTTGGCTGACACCCCACATTCCTTGCATCTTCTGAGTTCCTGTAGTCTTCATCGAACCACTGGCTGCATTCCCACTGCTATATGCATTCTCCTCTCAGGGGCCCATCACTTGGCCTTGCAGGTTTTCTTTGAAATCTGGGTGGAAGCCTCAGTGAGATCACAACTTTTGCCTTCTGCATGCCTGAAAAATCAGCACTATGTGGCTGATTCCAGGGTCTACCACTGGCAGGAGTGGTATCCAGTCTTCCCTTAGACCGTGGCTACAACAGCCACTCAGGACCTGGTTGGCTGAGCATGGTGAGAGGAATCCAGAAAACCAATTCTCAGCAGTGCTTCCCGAACAGTAATCCCAAAGAGCCCTCTTCTCAAATGAAGGGTTTACACTACCTTGAGCTTGTGGAGGGCAGGGTCTTCCTAAATCCTGAGATACCCTTAGAAAGATTGCTTCTCATCACAGTTCAAAGTATTTTGTTTCTTTTTAATGTTGCTTATCTTCTTAGTAGCTACATCTTTGTAGGCCCCAACTTTATACATACTTCTTTTCTGGTCAAAATGTAAGTATTTCAAGTATTTCTGCTCCCAATTCTCCTTATAAATGCCACTAAAAGAAGTCATCAGTACTCATGCTATGGTCTGAACTTTGGGCTACTTTGAAATTTTTTCTACCATATCAATTATTCCACTGTCCTTGATCTCACAAAGTTTCATGGCATGAACAAAATACAGACAATTCTTTGAATATAACATAAATAACCTCTAGTTCAGTTCCCAATGGAATTGTCATTCCCATCTCAAATTTCGTGAGCCTGGCCTTTACTGTGCACATCATATAGGCATTTTGTTCTAAGCTTTGACCAGAATCACTCACCAAGCTCTGCTTATAGGGTTTTAGGTCTTTTCTAGCCTAGTTCCCCACACTTTTCCAAATTCCTCCCACAAACCAATTCCAAAGACTTCCAAACCATGTGACCACATGGTAATCACAGCAACAGTATTTCTCTGGCATCAAATTTCTGTATTGGTCAGCTTTTCAACTACTAGAACAGGGCCAGGGATTTAGCTCAGTGGCATTAGTTGCCTGCTTGGCAAGCACAAGATCATGAGTTTGACCCCTGGTACAAAAAAAATTACTAAAACAAAATACCCACTAACCAAAACTTAAAGAAGACATTTCTTCTGGCTCAGGGTTTCAGGGGTTCAACCTATGGTTGGCATCCAAATCAGAATCATGGAGGGGCCTGATGGAGCAAAACTGCTTATTTCATGGTAACTAGGAGACAGAGAACAGGAGAAAAGTGCGTGTGAGAGATGTACCCTCCAGGGGCATGCCTCAGAACCCCCTTTCTCTATCCAGGCTCCAGGGCCTAACAGCAAGGCAACTATGAGCATCAGCGGAGTAATCTACTGTAAGTATAGCAGCCATGATCAAAACACCTTTACAGAACTCTCCTAGTGCTGTCAAACTGACAACCACCACACATGTCCTACACCCTCTCCTTGTTTTGAGGAACCCCTCCTTTTCCAAAGTGATTTACAGACAATTCACAACTCACAAAGCAGTCTTTATTACCCAGTTTCTCCATTCTTATGGACATAGTTACCTATATCTTTAATGGCAAAGGTAAATTCTTTTTTTTTTTTTTTTTGTCTTTTTCTTTTTTTATCGGTACCGGGGATCGAACTCACGACTGCCTGCTTGCAAGTCAGACGCTTATGCTGCTGAGCTAAATCCCCAGCCCCAAAGGTAAATTCTTTTGCGAAGAACAGTTAAGGTCTGGGGATTTAGCTCAGCGGCATAAGCGCCTGCCTTGCAAGCACGCACTCTTGAGTTTGATCTCTGGTACCAAAAAAAAAAAAAAAAAAAGAAGAGCTAGTAAGTATTCTATTTAGCATATCTGGAATATTTTTTCTATTGTCCTCCTCTAGGAACATTCATTTTGCAGTGAATGTTACTTTCTGTAAATACATTTAATGTCTGGCTTAATAGAAGACAGCAGAATTCTCCTACATTCTCAGCACTCATTCGGTTGTAATATGTTATCTTGGTTGGAATATACAAAGAAAATCTGAATTTGGAGTGATACAGAATTGGAAAAGTATTTTTAAACTCTTTTCAAATGACTCTGGATTTCTTCTTTGATACCATACTAAAATTGAACAAATGGTAGTACCAAAGTTTAGTTGCAATGTGGTCTTACAAAGCTTGTTCATGTTCTGTTACATTAGAATTCACTGTTTTATCTTTCACATTAAATAAATCTTTTTTATTTTAAAGAGATTAAGATAGAAGAGGACATAACAAAGCAGATCAGAACAGAACAAAATTAAGCAACACAATATTTCACCACAAGACAACCCGATACAACAGTAGCTACCATAATGTCTCTTTCCTTGAAATAGTTGAGCATACCTTCATACACAATAGTATCAAAAAAATATAAAACCATTCAAGAGAATGAAAGTATTACAGGGCATTCAGAACCAAATAACAGAAAATGAACAATGATTACTATAATATCTCACTGTCCTTAAAAAATTTGTTTATACTACCACACATAATAAAATCCAATAAGATACTACATGATAGAACCAAGGGAAACAGAAGAACAAAAGTATGGTAAGACTTCAAAACAAGATGATATTAAATCAGCACTGGCTATTATAATGGCTTGTTTTCTTCAAAATAGCTGTTCATACCATCACAGATAATAAAATCAAACAACCCAGAATAAAACCATTCCAACTAATGAATGGAAGCATTGTAAGGCTTCAAAGCAATGTAATGGGGGATCATGATTACCATAAACTTACTAGGGAGACTATACGGTATTTATACATGTGAATTTGATATATTTCCCTTATGAGTATGGGCTCAAGTTGCATCCTAAATAAATCTTTAATTCGTGCATAATTTTATAACATGCATTTGCTCATTCAGAAACACGATGCAATGAGTTATACATATCTTCCAAATGTGAAAAAATTTCATTAAAGAATTTTAAAAGTCACATTCATTTATATCACTACTAATTTCATCAAAAAAACACTACATGTTAAGGGCCTAACCTCAGAGTGACAGACATAACTTTCTCTATAATATAACGTTCACTAGCAATCTTGAATTTTCCCATTAGCAACAGACCTGTCCATTGTTTTCCTGGAAATAGTAGGATTAAATTCGGGGAAGATGGCAGAGTGGTGAACAGTAGAGAAACCACCTCTCCAACATTTGATATCTAGAGGAAGGAATATAGCAACACAAGGAAGAGAAGAAGGAGGGAAGTGGTCCCTGGGACCCAGCAAGGATCTTATGGGAAAATTGTGGCCACAGGGGCAGCAAAGGGGGAGACCTCAGCACAGAAGAGGGAGGTAGCAGGTGGCTCTTTGGGCCTTTTGCACAGGAGAGGTGGCTTGAAACTGCAGATGCACAGTGAATACTGGCGACCCCAGAGCCTCACAGAGAAACACACCAGTGGAAAAGAGCAGTGAATTCAATGCAGTGGCTATTGAATTATTCGGGTTCAGGTGTCCCCCTGGTGAGAATGATTGGCGGGTAGCCTTCTCAGAGAGAGGCCAACTGTGCTCAGGACTCAGAGCAGCTGTGGGTTGGCTCCATCTAGCAGCTCTCCTGACAGGATGAGGGATTACCCAGCTCATCAGGAGGAGGTCAAAGAGCCAAATTCGAGGGGACAGAATGCCGAATTCGAGACAGTTGGAAGCACACGGAGTGTTGCAGGTTGAACAAAATGGGTTCCAGACTCACGGCCTGACGTGAGCCTGAACTTCAGTGAAACAAAAGGTGCAGCTTTGCCAGAACTCCTCACTACACCACTGTAAACTTATGGCTGATCCTCTGGGATTAATCACCATGGATCTGGACTCTGTCTACCAGTGACAGCAGAAACACTCCCTAAATTGGGCTTTTTTGTTGTTGTTGTTCTGTATTCTGTATTGTTTTCTTTTTTCCTTGATTGTTTGTTCTTGTTTTTATGAGTGTGAGCATTTCTTTAAAATGTTTTAAAAGAGTGTGAACATTTCTTTAAAATGTTGCTATTTCTTAAAAATAGCGAGGGACCACAAAAACTCAGTCTAACAGCTGCTATATGATGCAAACAATAACGTAAATTAATCAGAGTCAATGAAAAACCTTGAGATGACATACAGACTTGTGCACAGAAATAATGGCAGAAAACTTTTCAAGCACTGAAAAAGAATTTAACACACAGGTAAGTGAGACATATGGAACTCCAACTACCCATGATTAATAAATACCCATAATAAATAAATAAATAAATAAATAAATAAATAAATACTACAATAAGGCATATAGTAGTCCAGATTCCAGAAAATCAAGAACACAGTATTAAAAGCTGCTAGAGAAAAGAAACAAATCACTGGGAAGGAATCACTTCCTTGAGAAGAAAAGCCCAGGAAATCACAGCAGACTTCTTGACACAAACCCTCAATTCAAGGAAGTATTTTAACCCCTAGAAGAAAAAAAATCAAACTCAGATTGTTGTACCCTACAAAAATATCTCTAAAAATTGATGAAGATTGATTTCTTTTTTTTTCTTTTTATGGTACTGGGGATCAAACTCATGACCTCAGGCTTGCCAGGTGGAGATTGATTTCTTACTGTTTTTTTTTTTAATTCCATATTATTTCTATCCTTTTTTTCTGTTTGTCTTTCTTTGGGGGGAGGGACAGGAGAAAGCGCAAATGCAGTCCCCCACTACCACAAATTACACAGTTGAATTTCCCACATTTGGGGAAAATGAGGGGTCAGCACATCTGCAGTGCAATGGATAAACCTGGCCCTGGGAAAACCACCTTCATGATCATGGTATCTCCTCTGCCAGGTAAGTATTCTGTTTTCTCTTTTAAATAAAAATAAATAAATAAATAAATAAATAAATAAATAAATAATAAATTTGATGGAGAAATGCAATACTTCCATGACAAAGAAAACCTGAATAAATTCATGACCACCAAACTAGCATTCCAAAATGTTCTGATTCTAGGAGAAAATGAGAATTGTAATTCCACAAACACTGACAGAATGAATCCACCAGGCAAAGCAAGTAATTAAACAAAGAAGGGAAAAGGGAACCAATAACAGGAAAAAAAAAATGACAAAGCCTGTTATGAAGGCATTACCTACCAATTACGAACAGTGTAATTACCTTTTACACTATAAAAGGTAGGTACCTTTCACCAATCAAAATAAACAGACTGGCAGAGTAGATCAGGGAACAAGAGCCAATGTGCATACAAGAAACACATTTAATTCAAAACCAAATTCATAGACTGAAAGTCAAAGAATGGAAAATAATACTACATGCCACAGGAGCCAGGAAAAAAAACAAGGGTAGCTATTACTTGCAGACAAAGTAGATTTCAAGCCAAGGCTGATTAACAGAGACAAAGAGGTCACTACAACCTTATAAAGGGAACAATGCAAAAGGAAGAGATAAAAATCATAAGGATGTATGCACAAATACCAGCACAACCAACTATCTAAAACAAACACTCATGGACATGAAAAATTAAATAAGCACTAATACAATTGTAGTAGGGGACCTTGACACCCTATTATCACAAACTGACAGATCAACTAGACAAAAAATAAAAAAAGAAATATCAAAAGTAAACCAAACCTTTTGGGGGAGGGGTCTTTTTGAGATAGGATTCACTATGCAGTTCAGGTGTTCCTTAAACCCACTTTGTACCCCAGGATGGCCTTGAACTCCCAGCAATCCTCCTATCTCAGCTACTGAGTGCTAGTATTACAGGTGTGCGCCACCACACCCAGCTGAACCAAAATTTTGAACAAATGGACTTAGATATTCACTGAATGTCACACCTCATAACAAAAAAATACACATTCTCCTCAGCTGTACATGGATGTTCTCCAAAACAGATCACATGCTAGCTCATAGAAAAACACACTAAAGTAAACGCAAGGGCATTGAATTGCCCCATGTGTAGTATCACACCATAGTGCAATGAAATTGGAAAGCAATGGCAAAAGAATCCATGAAAACTTCACAAACACGTGGTAATAAATAATACCTTCTTGAACAACTAATGAGTTACAGATTAAATTGAAGAAAAAATTAGACAGATTCTACAGATAAATGCCAATACAATGCACTGGAACTTACAGAACACACTGAAAGCAATTCTACAGGGGACTTCTGTAGTGGTGAACTCTCTCATCAGAAAAACAAAGCAAGTGACAATAAACAACCTAATGTTGAACCTCATGCTTCTAGAAAAAGACGTAGTCAAGGCCAAAGCTCCTCAGAGGAGGAAATTATAAAGATCAGAGCAGAAATTAATGCAATGGAAACTAAGAAAACAATACAAAGAATCAAAGCATCAAAGAGTTGGTTCCTTGAAGATTAAGTAAAATTGATAATCCCTCAGCTGACTTTGTCAAAAAAAGAAAGAAAAGATCCAAATCTTGTAATTAGGAATAAAAAGAGATCTTCCAGATCACAACAGATCTGGAAGAAATCCAGCAGATCTTTAATACCCACTTTGAGAATCTGTATTCCAATAAAATGAAAAACAAGAGGAAAATGGGCAGTTTCCTAGATACATATGAATTATCAACTGAATCAAAAGGATATAAAGGATATAAAATTCTAATTAACCCAATATCAGTCTATAAAATTGGAGATATAATTAAAAACCTTTCAACAAAGAAAAGCCCGGGTCCTGATGGATTCACTGCTGAACTCTACAAGACATTTAGAGAAGAACTAACACCACTACTTCTCAAACTCTTTAATGAAATTGAAAGGGAAACAGTACTCCTAAATACATTCCTGGAAGCAAGCATTACCCTAATACCAAAACTCAAAAAAGATCCAATTAATAAAGAGGACTACAGGCCAATCTCCCTAATGAACATAGATGCAAAACTCGTCAATAAGGAACAGGCAAACAGAGTGCAGCAAATCATCAAGACGATGACCAAGTAGGATTCATTCAAGGGATATAGGAATGGTCCAAAACACCTGCTTCAATAAATGTAATATGCCATATTAATAGAGCGAAGGACAAAAACCATATGACCATCTCAATAAAAGCAGAGAAAGCATTTGACAAAGTGCAACACCCATTCATGATAAATCTGCTACAGAAATTGGAATAGATGATCTTTATCTCAATCTGATAAAAGCCTTGTATGACAAACCAACATCCAACTAAGTGGAAGGGCTTCACTCTAAAGTGAAAGACAAGACAAGGCTGTCCAATGTCACTACTCTTACTCAATATGGTTAGCAAAAGCAATTAGACAAGAGAAAGAAATAAAAGGAATAAGGATAGGTAAAAAAGTTACTATCAGTTTTTGTGGGTGACATGATACTCTACATAAAATACCTCAAAATCTCCATGAAAAGACTTCTAGATTTAATAACCAAATTCAGTAGCATAGATGGATGCAAAGAAAAAACTCAAAATTCAATAGCAGCTGGATATGGTATCACACACATGTACTCCCAGAATTTAGGAGGCTGAGAAAGAGGTTCACCATTAGTTGGAGGTTGACCTGGGTTGCTTAACCAAGTTCAGGCCCAGCCAGCACTGTATAGTAAGACTCTAGCTAAAAAATTAAATAAAAAATTTAAAAATTCAATAGCATTCCTGTACACAGAAAAAAAAATTTACTGATAGATGAATTAGGGAAACAACACTTTTCAAAATAGCACCCAAAAAATGAAATACCAAGGAATCTAATGAAAGGAGTAAAAGAACTACACATTAAAAACTACAACACTGAGGTTTTAGCTCAGCGGCATAAGCGCCTGCCTTGCAAGCAGGCGGTCGTGAGTTCGATCCCCGGTACCGATAAAAATGAAAAAGACAAAAAAACTACAACACTCTGAAAAAGTAGACTGAAGAGGGTGTCAGATAATGGAAAGACATCCCCATTCTTGGATAGGAAGACCTAATATAGTGAAAATGGCCATGTTTCAAAAATTGTTACACAAATTTAATACAATCCCAATCAAAATACCAGAATTATATTTCAATTAATTAGAGAAAACAATCCTAAAATTCATTTGTAACCAGAAGAGACCTAGAATAACAAAAGCAATTTCAGGCAATTTTATAGACTGAATTGCATCAAAGGCAAGGGAGGGGACATAACAATTCCTAATTTGAAATTGTATTACAAAGCTACTGTGATTTTTTTAAAAAGCAGCATGGTGTTAGCAAAAATATAGACTCAAGGATCAGTGGAACAGATTAGAATATGCAGAAACATCTCCAAACATCTTACCTTTCACAAAGGAACCAAACATGTTCACTGGAAGAAAGACAAACTCTTCAGTAAATAGTACTTGTAAAACTGCCTTTCCACATGCTGAAGATTAAAACTAGGCCCGTATCTTTCACTATGCACTAGATAAATCAAATGAATCAAAGATCTAAATATTAAAACAGAAACACAGCCAGTCCTGATGGCTCAGATCTGTAATTCCAACACTTTGTAGGCTGAGGCAAGAGGACTGCTGTGAGTTTGAGGCCAGCCTGAGTTACATAGTGAGTTCAAGACCAGCCTAAATTACGTAGCAAGATCCTGTTTCAAATAAATAAACAATCAAATAAACAGAAACACTAAAACTACTGGAAGATAGTGTTGCACCCCAAAACAAGGCCCTATGATATTAAACACAATGGGGGAGCAAGATGTTTGTAAAAGAGAGCTTTATTTAAGCTGGTAACCAGCGGCACAGTGCAGATGGAGTTTGCAAAGCTGTGCAACTGAGTTAGAATTTTGACAGATTTTTATAGTTCATTTATGATTAGCTCATTAATCATTAAGTATATAGCAAAGAAACAAGGTGGACCTTTGTTCCCCTTTGCTTGAGGTCACCCCATTTCACAGTGGGTGGTTAGCCAATTCGTAGCTCGTGGTCTGCCCATCCCAGGAACATTGTTGGCACAGCATCATTTGTCTCTTACAAAGGGAACAAAGGTTGACACAGCAAACAGGTTACTCGGGGAACTACGCATACAGAATAGCATGACGATGCGGTCAGTTAATCTATAACTATGTGGTTGGTGTGTGGTTACTAGGGTAATGAGCACAGCACAGAATGACAATCCTGCTAATAACTATCCTTTTAACTATTTTTGCTACTATCTTTTTAACTAACTAATTTTTTTAGCATTTTAGTACAACAGATAGAATAGGTAGAACTCTTGAAGACACTGGTATAGGCAAAAACTTTACGAATGAAACCCTAATCACATGGGAACTAGCACATAGAATCTACAACTGGGATCTCATTTTATTGAAAAGCTTTTGCACAGCAAGAGAAACTGACAGAATAAAGAGACAACTCATAGTAAGAGACAAAATTTTGCCAGTGTTCCTTAGACAAAGGACTAACATCCAGAATATGTAAAGAACTCAAAAATATCAGACACCCCAGATTTAATGACCCAAAAAATGGGCATCTAAAATGAATAGACACTTCTCACATGAAGAAGTGAGAAAGCAGCTAAATATATGAAAAAATGTTCAACACCGCTGGTCATTTGGAGATGCAAAGTACAACAACACTGAGATTGTATCTCACTCCAAAAAGTACGGCTATTATCAAGAAATCAACCAATAACAAATGCTGGTGGGGCTGTGGGGACAAAGGAACCTGTCTGCACTATTGGTGGAAGGGTAGCCTGGTTCAACCACTGTGGAAATCAGTGTGGAGATTCCTCAAAAAACTAGGACTCCAGGTTCCACTTGACCCAGATATTCTCCTTCGTGGTATCTTCCCAAAAGAATTAAAAGCATTATACCACAGTGTTATATGCACACCCATTTTTATTTTTGAATGAGACAGG